TCTTCCCCTTTAAAACTCCTGCTGCCGCCCGCGCTGACCATGCGGCTGGATTTATGGAGAGAGATGTTTTAGCAGAATCCCCCCGAGTCCCCCATCAGCCCTAAATCCCCAGCCCGCGCTCCCCGGGAGCCCTCCTGACACAGAGCATGCCAAAACAGCTTCGTTTTGCCTATGCATTAGCAATCTATTTTACCTTTTTGACATCTCTCACACATAAAACCGTAAGAGAGAAATAAAATATCTGTCTCTGGGCGAAAATAAAGCTTTGCCTCCCTCCTGATCTATAGGATATAAAATAAAGCCATGGCTTTGATAGTGGCTTTTCCTTAGACCGGAGTTGCTTTTGCACACACGGAGACAATGAAGATGGATGAGCCGGGAGCGCTGCATCCTCCGGGGGTTCGCTTCACCCTCTTTTTTTATAGCCCCCCCTCGCCCCCTCTACCTCTCCACTTTTCTTTCTTTTCTCTTTTATTCGCCTTTTATCTGCCCTTTGCGGAGTGCAGGATCCCGCTCGGCTGTCCCGCAGCCGCAGCCCCGCCGGGCTCGGGGACACCCCCGGACACCCCCGGACCCTTCCCGGACACTTTCCCGTCAGTCAGAGGCAGAGCCGCGCTCCTCGGATTTGTAATTATTTATTAACCGTATTTCCCATAAACAATGCATGAGCTCGGAGTGTAAGCGACAACATTTAGCGACGTGGGCAGAAACCCGGGAGGGCTAATCACGGGGCTGGGGGGGCAGGAAAATAAATAAGGAAAAGGAAAATAAATATAAGAAAAAAAAATAAAAGGAAAGCGAAAGGCGAGCGGAGCCGGGGGGCGACAGTGCGGTGGTGTTTACCCTCAGCATCGACCCGAGTGTGGCAGGATAAACTGGGACTTTCAAATACATAATTTAAAGGTCTTTTTCTTCTTCTTCTTTTTTTTTTTCCAAGCTCTTTTAAAACAAACCTGGGGATGGATCCTGTCCAGCCGTGGGGTTTATGGTGTGGGGATGTTCTAAAGGCTTAATTACATTTTAACTTCAATATTTGGCCAGAGCATTAAGCGCATATATATTTAATCAGGCGGAGGCGCTCTTTCTGCGGGGGAAGGTGCTGGGGACGGGGGGAGGTGGGACCCGCA